TTTTGAAATGCCCCCTGCTAAATAAATATAGTTATTAGACTTGGCCTGACATGAGAGGATAAATTGGGATTTGGCAACCTAGTGTCCTAACCAGATTGGAAAAAAGCCAAACTTGGTAAGCAATTGACTCAGAAAGACTCGAGCAATTTTCTAAGTAAACTAGCAACTCAAGGGACCCGGTGCAACCCGCAATAAACCTTTTTTTAAAAAAAAAACAAAAATTAATCTACAAATAACTAAGGTAATGTATTTTCTCTAAATGTGAAAGAAATTTGCTTGTTCTGGTGTTCCTCGAACCAAAATATTTTTTCCCTCAACAAACAAAAAAATCAATTCATAAAAACCTAGCCTCACATAGTTTGTTGGAACAAACCTAGATTGACATTTTTTTTAACAAGTACTTTTTTTCTCAACTGATGAAAAAATCAATCCATAGCCTTACATATTTTTATTTTTAAGATATTTCACGTGACAAAATAGTGTCCAGTAGAATTTTTATGGAGGAGCTAAATTGATGGTTTTAGTTCAAGGACCAAAAACAAAAGGTTCATGAAGCATAAGAGTAGCCTCATGCGGGGAGCAATCGAAGGTTTTCCTCTTACTCGATCTAAACACACGAGCTTATTATCTTTTCTTTTTTATCACTAGCTCATATCAAAGTTCATTGTATAAACACAAAAAAAATAGTTTTAGTTTTTTCAATATGGGATTGAAAGCCTAGTGATATATATATTCACAAGAAGAAAATTGTATTTTTCTAAAGTGGGATAAGAAATCTTTTTGGTTTAAATATTTCAACTTAAAAGGAGAAGATAATATATTTTCAATGTGTGATAAAAAAATATTTTGAAATAATTTTTAAAACTTTATTATTTACAACATATATCTTTACATTCACATGAATTGTTTCTTAATTTTTTTTCATATAATATATTAAAACCTCAAATATTTGTTTTTTAATTTTTTTGGGTTGACTTGAGTTAAAGGCACTAAAAATATATGGTGTTTTCATTATGGATCACCTCACAAAGGACTATTCATTTCAATGGTGCTTTCTTCCTTTTCTTTTTCTTTTTTAAATTTTAATTTCCTTTATCAATATTTGATTTGTTAAGTATTGAACTTTATGATTTATTTCAATTTACTTTCTACAGGTTTTCATAACCTCATGATCCGGATAGTGGGTTTAGTGAGTCAACTCTTTTTTTTTTCAATTTTATCCTTCAATATTTGATTTCTCATGTATTGTTCTTCATGATTTATTTTAATTTACTTTTCACAGAGTCATTTAAGCCTTAAGACTTAAGTCATGGATTTGGAAAATTAATCAAGTGACTCAATTGTTTTTTTTTTAATTTCACCCTTCAAATTAATTTACTTATTTGTTTTGGTTTATTTTCTATGAGATTATCTCGATTTCATGATTATAGTCACGAGTTTAACGAGTTAATCCAAGTTAACCCAGGTAACTTTTTAAATAGATTTTTTTTAATTTTATCTTTTAATATTTGATTAATTAGGAATTGTGTTTTATAATTTGTTTTAATTTGCTTTATACGTGGTTATTTTAGCCTCTTGATCAAAGTTGCGAATTTGGTGGGTTAATTAAGGTTAATTTAGGTTGTTTTTTTTATTTCTATAAGATTATCTCGATGTCATACCAGTTGTCATGGGTCTAGTGATTTAAATCGGGTTGTTTTTTTTATTTTTTTATTTTTTTAATTTCATCATTCAATATTGAGTCGAATAGGAATTGGTTCTCATATTATTTTTGGATTTGCTTTTTATGAAGTTACATGGTCTTATATCCTGGGTCACATATTTGATGTGTTAACTCAAGTTGATTCAAATTATTTTTTTAAATTTTTTTAATTGAATTTTTTTAATTTTATCTTTTAATATTGGTTTAATTGAGAATTGAGCTTCATAATTTATTTTGATTTACTTTATACAAGGTCATTATAGTTCATTATCAAGGTTGCCTATTCAAATGATTAAATTTGAATTGATCTAATATGCCGTTATTTTAATTGTTTTTAAATAATCTTAAGTTTTTTTAATCTTTTTGCTTTTTATTGATCATTCAAATTGTGTTGTCACAATGTAGAGAAATAGAAAACTTTTTTCATATGGCACTCCAAATTCTAGATATAAATAATACGAGGGTGACTGATGAATGTATAATTTTTTAATTAAAATTGCAATGCCTTCTACCGGTTGGAAAAAAATTAACCATTAAAAAAAAAAGAAAATAAAATAAAAATGATCTAAACTAGGAGACAGACATTACAAGAGTAAATTCCACATCTTCTACGTTTTGTTATTCTCATCCCCACAACCAAACAAGTCATGAACAAAACATTTTGTCATGTTTATAAGACATGAAATCAATCAAGTTTTTAATAAAAGCGTTTTTATCAACATGAAATCAATCAAGGGAGGACTAAAAAAAATTCAATCCATCAGTTGGCACCTTTTGGTGCTTTATTGTCCAGCCCAGAAAAAGAAATTGCTTGATGTTTATGATGCTGGCTGGAATAGAGGTGTCCCACCGCATTTTTCTTGTCTCTTGCTTTCTTTTTCGTTAGAGCTTCTTGTGAAATTTTGAATGTTATGAAGAGATATTCTACCCTTTTGGGGGACGAACTGATAAGCATTAGATTCTTGTGGCAAATTTATTTCTGAATGATTACAGACAAGGAAGGCATTGACACCAGAATAAAAGTGAACAATGAGGGGAAGCGCTTCTTTCACTAGGTGACTCAATATAATGCACCTTAACAATCTGATAGAATGGCGAACTTTCATATCTCTAATTAATCAGCATTACTGAGTTAGAAATTGCCTTTGTTTCCCTCTTCTATCCAGAATGACATTCTCAGTTTTAAATTGTCTGTAGCCCAAGCATGATTTGAAGGACAAGAAACAAGTGTTTGACTTGATATTGCAATTACCATCGGGCATTGGTGCCGTTGATCTCAAGGATGCATACCCAACTTCAATGGAGGACTTGCAGGTATATTTAATTGTTAAATACTGTTCTTTTATGCTGGCCATTTTATTGATCCGTTTCGATTTCCATCACTGGTTTAAAAAAAATGTAAGTAGGAAAGAAAACATGATTGACCTTACGAGCAAAAAACTCAATATTGCAGTGAAGCCTCTTAAGAACTCGATAGCAGTTACTCTTGCTTTTTGGTGGTCCATGGGTGGTGCTGAGACCAATGAGATAATAACTGGGAGCTCTTCTCCAATTTGAGTTGAGTTGAGTTGTTCTTGTTTGAAAGGTGAACCAAGTATAACAGAACTTAAGCCTGACATTTCTGCAGCTCACTTTGGCCACCCCTTAGTAGCATGCGAAGCCAAGTCTTGGAATAGTTCCGACTCTTGTCTTGTTTGATACTTATGATGCTGGCTGGAATAGAGGTGTCCCACCGCATTTTTCTTGTCTCTTGCTTTCTATTTCCTTACAGCTTCTTGTGAAATTTTGAATGTTATGAAGAGATATTCTACCCTTTTGGGGGACGAACTGATAAGCATTAGATTCTGTGGCAAATTTATTTCTGAATGATTACAGACAAAGAAGGCATTGACACCAGAATAAAAGTGAACAATGAGGGGAAGCGCTTCTTTCACAAGGTGACTCAATATAATGCTCCTGAACAACCTGATAGAATGGCGAACTTCCATATCTCTAATTAATCATCATTACTGAGTTAGAAATTGCCTTCGTTTCCCTCTTCTATCGAGAATGACATTCTCAGTTTTAAATTGTCTGTAGCCCAAGCATGATTTGAAGGACAAGAAACAAGTGTTTGACTGGATATTGCAATTACCATCGGGCATTGGTGCCGTTGATCTCAAGGATGCATACCCAACTTCAATGGAGGACTTGCAGGTATATTTAATTGTTAAATACTGTTCTTTTATGCTGGCCATTTTATTGATCCGTTTCGATTTCCATCACTGGTTTAAAAAAAATGTAAGTAGGAAAGAAAACATGATTGACCTTACGAGCAAAAAACTCAATATTGCAGTGAAGCCTCTTAAGAACTCGATAGCAGTTACTCTTGCTTTTTGGTGGTCCATGGGTGGTGCTGAGACCAATGAGATAATAACTGGGAGCTCTTCTCCAATTTGAGTTGAGTTGAGTTGTTCTTGTTTGAAAGGTGAACCAAGTATAACAGAACTTAAGCCTGACATTTCTGCAGCTCACTTTGGCCACCCCTTAGTAGCATGCGAAGCCAAGTCTTGGAATAGTTCCGACTCTTGTCTTGTCTGCAAAGTACCATATGACGATAAGAAGTGGTACTAAGCAAAGTTCATAGCAGAATGTGATGGGTATAATTCTTCACAGTCAGATTTCTGAAAATCATTCTTTTTCCAGGCTTTAAAAGCTGCAGGACAGATTCGGATGCTATCAAACTTCGATTCGAAGGATTATATTGCCTACCCATACGATCCCAAGTCGATCATTAAGGTGGATGATGACCTTAGAAAGCTCTTTCGAGGAATTGAACTTCGTCGTGATATGCTTGACATTGAGAAGCATCTCTAGATGAATGGGATGATGCCAGCTTCCAACACTGCAAAGAGGAGGGAAGCAGCCCAGGTGAAGGGCATTTTCTCAGAGAAAAAGATCAAGAACAAGAAGCGTGGGATCAGAAAGATCCATAACCTGACCAATCCACGTCTTCCAGAACTTTTTGAAAATTTCTGTTCTTGATACTTCATAAGTAGATTGCCCCATTGTTGAGCTGAGGTTTATTCGCAGAGATGCACTCCTTTCACAGGGAAAGTTGCTGCATGAGTCCTCAAATGAAGTTGAGTGTAGATAGGCTCTAGAGTTTGCACTGATGTGTCTAACTTGTCAGAAGTTTACGTATATATATTCGTATCTGTCATTTTTTGCTTTTTTTTCTTATTGAAGTGTAGTATTTCATCTCTAGTTACTTTAGTTCCATGGGTGGTGCTGAGACCAATGAGATAATAATTGGGAGCTCTTCTCCAATTTCAGTTGAGTTGAGTTGTTCTTGTTTGATAGGTGAACCAACTAGAACAGAACTTAAACCTGACATTTCTGCAGCTCACTTTGGCCAACCCTTAGTAGCCTGCGAAGCCAAGTCTTGGAATAGTTCCTACTCTTGTCTTGCGCTACACTGCACTGACAACAGGTCGCTAAAGTGTAGGTATTGGCCTTGCTAGGCCATGGAAAATTTTCTACTTCCGCAGGTTTGGAACAAATCAACCCTGACAGAAATATCAAAACAGTCTCCAGTGAGAGGGTTGCATTTCTGTACTTAAAAGTTCTGTGTGATGTTCTATACTGAATGTCAGAGGAATTTATTTCCATGATAAAATAACTGTCAAAGGAAAGCAGGAGATGGTAGTGGATTGCATACAGGTTACTTACCTCTGCATCCTCCAGAAGGTGATTCTTCCAATTAAAAATCTTTGTCATGTAACATATGCAGATGGTAAAGGTACAAACAAGTCTTGAGGAAGGCGCTAACCTGGCTAGGAAGTGGATCTCTTTCCTCAGCACTTGTCGATTCTGACTAAATTAGCTTACACATTTAATACAAGGGTTTATGGGAAACCATTTTTGTTATCTCCACTACTAACAGCAGACAAAGTAGATTGCCCCATTGTTGAGCTGAGGTTTATTCGCAGAGATGCACTCCTTTCACAGGGAAAGTTGCTGCATGAGTCCTCAAATGAAGTTGAGTGTAGATAGGCTCTAGAGTTTGCACTGATGTGTCTTGCTTGTCAGAAGTTTACGTATATACGTTCGTATCTGTCATTTTTTGCATTTTTTTTTGAAGTGTAGTCTTTCATCTCTAGTTACTTTAGCTGAGATTGCCTATGCTGCTCTGGCTGAGCCAATTTCTAGTCTCTACTGCCCCGTTTAATGATGCTGTCACGGAGAGCTCAATGACTTTCAAATGCAAGCAAAGACAACCTTAAACTATTAAATTGAAGTAGAGACACGGTGCATATTAGGCAGAGGATATATTTGTCTTGAAAATTCAAAAGTGTTTATTATTGTGTCTCGTACCATGTGATAGTGGGATCATCATATTAATTAAAAAAAGAGGCAACTAGCTGCTTATTTAATTTAAATATGTCTGCTACTGTTGATGGGAGAAAGAAAAGAAGAAAAGGTAGAAGAGCAGTTTGTCTTCTTTCCTCAATTACTAGCTCGTTTACCGTTGGATCTACCTGAAATTTTGACATCAGCTTTTATACACATTACTCTTCATTTTGAATGGTTGGATCAAAGATTGATGGTGCGAAAGTTGGTTGTTTTGATAAAAAGTAGAACTGTCAGTATTGTGAGTTTTTTCTCAAATAATTCTTCTTTAATCTAGTTGTATTCCAAGAATAAGTTATTCTTAATGATATGTATATTGTAGCCCTTAGTTGAATCTAAAAAATAACAGTTGTAAACCCATTATTTGTTGATAGTGAAAGTTTTTAGGTGGACTATGGTCCTGTGGTTTTTCCCGTATTATGTTTTCCATGTAAAGATCTAAGTGTTGATTTGTGTGATTGTTGTTTTATATTTATCGATTGTTTAATCCTAATTTTGATTGCACAAAGAGGAAAAAGAATTGGAACTTGTGAATTGTGAATTTATCCGGGTAGATTGGTGTCCGGTTATTTGTTCCTAATTTTCCCAACAAAGTGGTATCGAAGCACTGGTTGTGTAGATTGAATTTCTTGTGCAGTTAAAATGGAAAAGGAAGATTTGGGCATGATAAAGCTCACTTCCTATAATTATTTTCTATAAAAAACAATGATGGAGGATCATTTATATTGCAATGATTTGGCTTTACCACTTGAGTGTAAAGGAATAAAGCCTGATGAGATGGATAAGGCAAAATAAAATGAGCTTAATAGAAAAGCGACTGCTTATGTTAGAAAATGGGTATCTTCTAAGTCCATTAATTATATTTCTCAAGCATATGACTACTATACAGTTTGGAAGATGTTGAAAGATACCTTTGCTAAAAAGCGTGCACAAAACAAGGTTTTTGTAATTAGAGACCTTGTGAATTTGAAGTATAGAGATGGTGAAGATGCTTCAATGCATGTAAATGAATTCCAAGGGTTCTTAAATCAGTTGTCATTGATGAATCTTGAGTTAGTCAATGAGATATAAGCACTAATCCTATTAAGTTCATTGTCGAATAATGAGAAGACTTTGGTGGTGTCATATAACAATTTTACTCCAAATGGAAATATCACTTTGAAAATAGTGAAAGATTGTATCCTCAATGAAGAGAAAAGGAGGAAAGGGACAAGTATTTCCGAGTCTCATACACTTGTTATAGAAAGTTGAGGGAGAAGTAAAAGTAGGTTCTCTCACAGCAAGCAAGATAGAGAATCCAACAATAGTAAAAGGCAAATGAAAGTCAAGAGGAAGATCTCAGCCAAGAAAGGGAATTAAGTATTATTATTATAACAAGCCTAGGCATATTAAAAAAGATTGTAGAAAGTATAAAAGAGATAGAAAGGGTAAAGA